CCCTCCAACATTGACATACGTAAACTTATAATCAGCATCACATACGGCCAATAGAATTATACTAAAGGTTCCTTTATAATTAGATAGAGAGATCCTGAATTTTTGGGCGCTTCCAGAACTACATGCTTCCCATCAATAGCACCAACATAATTTGGGAAGTTCCACTTCTCATAAAAATTGTTAGAAATGGATCTCCACTGTTGTTCATCTGGAAACTATATAAATTCATGTCGACATGACATTTTTGGAGTAATTGAGCGTTACCTTAACACATTTCGGGGCCAAGATTTTCCAAATTATTGGCAAACATTCCTTCAGAATTAATGACACAGTTGGATTGCCCAAACTGAAACTTGTTGCAATTGTTCGGATGTGATCCCCTGTGGCTAAATATCTGCAATTGTATAATAAAACATAATTAGTAATCTTGAGAAGGGTAGCTGGGTGAAAGCTAAGTTATATTCGGTTCGAACCGCAAAGTTACATAAGGTCGGATTCTGGATGGAATACAATTGCGGAATTTCGAATTGGTCTTTCTAATATAAGGATCAACCATTGCCAGCAATTTGTCGAATAATGTTGGGGTCATCCTTGTATATTGAAAAAATTTATCGGGGTGATCACGGTACATTTTATCAATTTTTTGATGCTCTCCATCAATGTCGATTCTCGTTCAGTGGGTGCACCCAATATCGCCTACATTGTTTCTTTCTGATGATATTGCGGAACAGAATAAGCTTCAGTAACTTTTTACTCAACATAATTAATGTTTTTATGTCGACATAAATTATGCGCACCATGACAAATAATCTGTGATCAGTAAAATAAAAATGGAGCTAAAAAGACCACCGAAATTGCACATGGGGTAAAAAGAGTTTTAGTAGCCTATTTTATATGTTTTATTAAACAAATTGCAAAATTCATATTGATCAATTTCTACATAACGACATGCTCATAACTGCTTATACATACGGATATTTTTAGTGTGTGTTTGAGTCGACTCAATTCATGACAATTTTCCATTCCCAGTGCACACACCAAACAGCAATTGTGGCCAGATGTGAAGATTGTATCCACTTCCCGTTCCGTATAAATCACACATTCCAACTGAAATGAAATAAAAAATTAGCAACAAAAAACATGACATGCAAAGCAATAAATAAAACGTAATCATACTCGACTTATCCGTCCTTCTGCCTCTTTGTAGAGCTTCTCTTCGAGTTTACTGATGGCTGACTCATATCTGGCCACCTTATCTTCGTAATTGGACGGGTGCTTAATCGTGTCTAATTTTGCCACTGACAGCAACAGTGCTTTCAATTGGTCAAGCGACTTATGGCAAGCAAGCTGTGTTTCACGAAATCTCTTCACTATTTCAGGTCGACCTGATTCAATACGCTTTCGACCTCTTCTAGTAGAGCCTGCAGAACAACCGACGTGTTCTGGAATCTTTCATGTAATCCAATTGCTGAGTCGTGCTCTAAGATCTTGATTCGAAGAGATTTCGAGACAGCATCTCTCATCAGACGCAAATCTTCTTCTCGGCCTTTCAAAATTTCGTGTTCCAATTCGTTTGGGAATTCTTCATTTCTTGAACATAGCTATGAATTAAAAATTAATATTTTTAGTTTGACATGCAAATATATTAATGTATAAGAGAATTTATAAATTTGTGTATACATGACGAGAGGGTTATATTACACTAAATAAGGGGTTATTTATACGGTTAAGGTTTTATTAAAGGGTTTACATACGCCGATGGGAGTATACGTGTATAATTTTATACTGGATTCATTCAAGTTTTATGTAGGTAGTCATTATTTTGATAGGAAAAACTGCATGGTTTAAATTCCTAACGAATTGACCATGACATCAACAGTAATAGTGACACCGCCAATTAGTGCGATGTGCATTATTATAATTACGGTTTGCTTTCATGTAGATCAAAATGGTTGCATACAACTAGGGCTTCCCACAAGACGGGACGTATGCGTCCCGTCCCGTCTTGAAATAGTCTACCGGGCGCAACTTCAAGACGAGACGGAACAACAACCCGTCTTGTCTTGCACCCGTCTTGTCTTGGCCGGTACAAAACGGGACATCTCGGGGCGTTCACAAGATTCGAAAAATCCCACGTTTTTGGCGGTTTTGGTAAGAGTTATAAAAAATCAATATTCAAATTTAAAATAAAATTTAAAATACTGCACAGCAAAAATTTTTAAGTCCGTGCAGAGTAAAATACAATGCCGTGCGGACTTGAAAGTGATTCCACGCTGTGCAGTGTAAACCTAGCGAATTTGCCAAAGGGTAACCGAGTTTACCCTGAGCGAGTTAATGGTTAACCCCGCACAGGGTTAGTGTACAGCTCGTATAGGGGTTACCGTTAACTCGGTACCGGGCTAGCACTTTATCGGGTACAGGGTTGTTTTTACTCGTTTTGAGTTATCCATGCAATGCATGCCTGTACTAACGGACAATTAATATTAAAATCATTTAAAAACTCTGTATTTAATCATGTGTAACAAAATTATGGGTTACAATTTAAAGTTATTTCTACGCTTTTCAACTATCTGTCTTCATGCAAAATCAACTAAATATATAGTCATAATAGTTCAATTCTTGGTAGTTGCCCATCGTTGAGAATGATGTCCAACGCTCGGGACAAGTTCAAATAGGTCAATTTTCCCATATCGACAAGTTGTCATCCCACATGTGGTTATCAGAAAAATAAAACAACATTAGATATTTAGTAAGAATGATTTCAAGTCCCCAAAAAATTATATAAAAACTTACCTCGACACTTCTGGACGTAATCGCTCAAATCGCATTGCTCCAGCAGCCGTCTTATTTCAATAAACTAGATGTCACTAATAGTTTATTTGTGTACCAAAGAATTTTGGAGTATGCTAACTAATTTGTATTAATTATTTATTTATCTAAGTAAAGCAGAATTATCAAATTTCCGACAGTTAGACAAAGTTAAGTCTTATTTTGGAGAGCGGTGGACTGACAAAGCTTCGTGCCCGCCTTGCTGCCTTTTTACTCAATCCGGAGTAAATCAAAGTGGCATAACTCGAGCCTGGGTAAGATTTACCCCGGTGCGAGTAAGCCAGTCCATATTTACTCGGTACCGTGTCACGCGTGGATTAACGCCACATCGCATTGACAACTTTACTCCTTGTGGGACACCATTTACAATGCACAGTGTTGGAGTCATTTTTACACAAAAAAGGGTTACGTCGAATTTTTAGTGTGTGATTAAGCAAATATTGTTTGAATTTTTTTCAAAATTCAAAATAAAAAGTTACATGTTATTTTTGTAATAGATTACATAAATTATATTTGTATTATGTATATTACATGTTAATCACGTAATAACTAAGAACAATGGAATACTAGGAACTACATGTGAAACTACAATGATTCCTAAAAATTCAAGTCGTAGGTGAAACTAAAAAAAACTTTCAAGCTGACATGCATATCCTGTGTACATGCATAAATACATGAATCGAGCGAACGTCTAATGCAACATCAGGTCCATCTTCAGTAATTAATTCAGTTATAAAAGTTATATTTCTAAAGACAGAATGGATTCGGGTTATTCTAGTAACTAAAATTTGAAAATTTAAACACATTTTAAATTTTCACAAGACGTCCTGTCGTTTTTTTAATTTTGCACGTTTACTTTTCTCGTGATATGCGGCGACTCTGACACATTGACCGTGCACAATAATAGGCGATGGTGGTCACAAACTTGGTTATTTTGATGTAGCTTTTGATGGTCAAATGAGGGTCAGAATTATTACAAAATTGAGGAGAAATACAAAATGATACGAAGTGGGACAATATGGGAACACTTGTTCTTTTCCCCGGAGACGAGACAAGACGGTCCCGTCTTGTGGGAAGCCCTAGCAAGAAATGTAGCTGGATTAAAAAATGTGTAAAATTTTGTTTCTGTGAAATGCATTTTAATCTGTCGACTCTGTCGTGACATTTTCCATAATTTTACATGGACCATTAGCTATATTGTTGCAATTTTATTCGGTTACCAAGTTTTAACTAATGAAATAAGGCCAGAATTATTTTCCACTGTAAAACTATTTATCAATAACTCTGTACATATGTATTTATTGTCAATTTGACAATGTACGTTTCAATGTCTTAATAAACAAAAATTTCAATGTCGTAAGAACCCTTACAAATTTATTTTTTAATTAAAAATAACACATCTACGTATGCAGATGCATTCATTCATATTCGACAAGTTGTTCCACAAAATACGTCATATTTAAGGAAAAGTTGCGGAGAATTGGATTAGTCAAAATTCCCCTAATTATTTTAAGCATTTTGAGTTCAATTTTTGCCACAGAATTTGGTTCACCCCGCTTTGTTGTAATCGGCTGCAGATCCTCGTGGATACGGTAATATGAAATTCATATGAAATGCGTAACTCCACCTTTTATCCAAATCCTTTTGTTTAAATACATATGTATGTACATATATTGTATATTTTTTGCAGCAAATTGTGACGTAATAAATCAAATCAATGACAAACATGCTTAACCATTTTTCTTCATCACAAACACCACCATGCATGCATACATGCGTCTACATTTTAATTTTAGCAATATTTCACATTGCTAAACTACAAAAGGATGAGTTAAATTTTTTCCCATACCTTTTTGTTTGCTCCTACCTGTGTATGCACATCGTACCACTGCATGATTTAAATCATCGTTTAAAATAACATGAGTACGTTGTGAATACGACAACTTAATAAAACCTTTGATGATCCTTGAGTTAATGAAAATTAGCAGACCTGTGAATCAGCCTCATGTGTACATATGTATGTATGACAGTTTCACCATTTACTAATGTACAACTATGCTTATAAATGTTTCACAAGATGTGAAATCATTTGTATTCATGCATTCCATTCAAGTGAATACATAACGTTATTTTCAATACACATGAAGCATCTCCTCAGTTCAATAAAAAAATTGTTCCATCCTTTATATTTAAAAAAATTTATATTTCTTACATAATTCATGCCATGTTTTGGGTAAATACGAAAACTCAATCAAGGCAATGACTCACAAATTAGTAAATATTTCACTTTTATATCTAACTTTTACCTATAATACACTTGGGACAGGTGTGCTTGCAAGCTGGAAAGTAACAAAATGTGCTTCACTGATTGTGCCAAATAATAATGATATAAGTTCATCGACAGAATCAATTCTCGATATTTATGAAGGGAAAGAAAATATCCCGGCTATTTACAGCGATTTGGAAGAAAAGATAAAAAGTGCAAAGGCAAAAATATGGGAGGCGTCGTGCAACGTTACAATTTGTGGGTGGGATGGTTCTTTTGGTCAAAAATGTACCAAATTAATTGATGGGGAGAATAATTTGGTACAGGATCAGGTATGATGCATATTTAAATACATATATACACAAGCAAGTATTAGTTTTATTTTTTAATTAATATTACTTAAAATTTTGTAAATTTAGAAAAATTATTTAATTGGTGAAACCAATTGCGAATGTGGTGTAAGTAAAATAAAACAATATATTTATTAGGGGAATACATTAAGAATTTGCAATTGACAAGTACGCAACATATTATTTTAATTTTCAATCGTATCTTGCGACGAAAGATGGCAGATCCTGGAAGTGTGAAAATTCGCGAATAATTTTTCGCTGAGATTTTTTGTGAACCGAAATCTCTGCAATGTTTTACTTTATCTTAAATAAACTAAACCTTAAAAAGGATTGCTTAGGTGAGTCTACAGGTGCGATTAAAAGTAAAAAATAACCCCCTCCCTGCCACCACCGCCAGATAAAGGATTTTGTATCACCGGCATCACCGCCCTGGTAATAATTTTTTTGATTGGTAATCACTCAATAATTTATCAATGGTCAAACGCTAAGTATGTCTGAATGTCTCTAAGTATATACACATATCACTAATTTAAATCACCGTCGGAAACTTTTACTTAGTAATCTCCTAACAAATAAAAAATGGTCAAACTTTAAATCCAATTTTATTATTGAAGATAAAATGTATTTAGTTTTGTTTTTTAAAAATTGTATCACATTTCTTATTTAATACGTATTGTGTATGTCGATTAATCGGACAAAGTTTGTGCACTTCTTAATAATCTGATGTTATTGCCTGAAAGATGAATCCAAAAAATGAATACTTCAACTTTTTTATTTCAAAATGAGTGTAAGTTTAAATTTTCAATGAAACCGTTACCAAACTTAAGGACATAGAGTTTTCACTATCTCCACGCCACTCCAGTCCACTACGCTCCACTTCTAGGAAATAGAATTAATTAGTTGTAACCAGATCAAGAAATTATATATATCTGAATCTTTAATTAAAAATAACATGTAGCACAAATTAAACCTCCGTCAAAAAATTATTACCAGGGCGGTGATGCCGGTGATACAAAATCCTTTATCTGGCGGTGGTGGGAGGGAGGGGGAGGGGGTTATTTTCTACTTTTAATCGCACCTGTAGACTCACCTAAGCAATCCTTTTTAAGGTTTAGTTTATTTTAAACTTTTCATTGATAATATTAAGGGTTGTTGTTGCAAATATGAGTTATGAATGCCAGATGATCCTATTCCTTGCGTAAGAATCGAATTACAAAATATTATGAACTATATCTGAACCTAACTTTGCTACTACGTGTCCCTGTCAGTATCTCATTTGGGACAAAATTCCTTGTACTTAACTCCTACACGGAGTATACTCAAATGAGACACTATTAATGACTAAGGACGCCCTTCTCTCGATGACTTTAATGCAAAAATGCATTAAAAGACACCTACCTTGTTTAACGTCGAATATAAAAATTGTAGGTAGTTTTGAACTTAATATAAATATACATTCATTAACTAAATCATTCATACATGCATATATGCATATATACATCGCAAATTCATGTATATACATCGCACATAAATACATATATGCATATCAATACACTCAAAACAAAAATTTGTCAAATCAACACCGCCGGTGTCAATATATGACTTAACCGCCTTGGTTACAATGCTGTATCCGAGTTATGATGATTTTGATACCGGTAGTTATAATGTTACGACTGGACGGAAAAGTTTCATCCCCAATCGGAATTATAATTTTAACCAAGGCGGTTAAGTCACATATTGACACCGGCGGTGTTGATTTGGTTAGGTTAGGTTTGAGTGTACATATATACAAATAAATATGTATCTATTACCGTTTCCCAAAACTCGACAATATTTCGACATTTGAACCTATTCCCTCTAGTGTTTGGTAAATTGAGAGAATCCAGGACAGGATCCATACACCGACGATATTTGAAGAATATTTCTACTTTTTACATTGGATGACTTCACCCCGTCAATTATTATTCTAAAGGGGGTAGTGTCTAAAGATGACATTTTTCTTGCAAAGTTGTTCACATCGGAAGACATTTAATTTTACTACTTTTTTTATTATTCTATCCGTCGACAACATTTGTTACACTACAAAATGTCTCAAGATTGTTGCTGTGCGACCTTTACCAAAAACTCTTCAAGCATTTCCAAAACCACCAATATTTACCACCAAGAAAACTTTTTCATTTCTTATCCGATTTTGATCATCTAAAGTTTGTTCGGTGGCCAAAAATATTTGCCTCAATTTTTGCCAAACAGATTTTTTAGTTAGGTCCCTATTTTTTTCAAATCCGCTAGAGATCGATTTCAGAGGGGGTTTTTGGTGAGTATCTCAGAAACGGACAGCACTTCTTGTGTCCGGGTTCGTTTTCAGATTCTACTTGATCATAAATGACTCTGGGTTCTTATTTGATCCAAATCGGTTGAGAAATGGCAAAGTTATGGCCTCATGTCACTTTTTAAAACCCTACTGAATGCATACTTAGGTGTTTTTTTCGTAACTATGGCCTCACCTAAGAATAATTAATTATGTAATTGTTTTCATAGAAAAGTGGAAACCCATTCTGCTCAGGCCGTTACTTTGGATGTATTCACCGTCCTATGATAAATCCAAGGGTTTGTGCGATACTATTTTTTGAAAATAATTGTACGGATTGCACTTCCCACGGTATCTCCATTGGATTCAAACAAAGGCAGAGGATGACGGATGAATTTTCGGCAAGAATAAACTCAATTAGGATTAGACAAGGGTGCCAACTCATTGCTGTGACTGAGAATGAAGAAAATCATGAAATTGGGAGACGTTATTTTCATCAATCGGAGGCTAGTGTGAAGGTTTGGTAGTTTGGTTTTGGAAATTTGTAATTAGAGTAATAACGTATAGCTCGGTGTAGCTTGGTACAGCTCGTATAGATTGTGTAGTTGGTGAGATTTGACAAAAAATAGCCTGAATCAATGGGGTTTTTGTTTGCTGATTTACACAAGAAATGAGAATATATTTATTTTTCAAGATTATTTTGCGATTGGAATTTATTTAGCAAAATACTGTTACAAAATACATACATGTATGACTATTATCTGGGTAAAATAAAATAAAAACCCCATATTTTTAAGCATTTTTTCAGACTTCCCAAGTTATGTTGCCATGCTCGATTTGTGAGATATGCCAAGTTCACGAGAGTACGCTGAATATTTTGAAATTAAATTATGCATGATGCTGATTATTTTTTTGGTCAGATGGTTGGCCCTCCCTCAGAATATTTCTGTTATTGTGACTGCGATTTTATTTCTGGTCCCCTCTACGATGACGGAGCTACGAAATTTGGATGTAAAAACATTTCAAACTTCATCAATAACCGTGAGTCTACGACTGACCAGGAACTAGGTACAAATCAAGTAACGACGAAACCAAAAATTCCTTTCAAAAGTACAATAATTCCACAAATTACACAAGGGACTACGGAAGAAATTACTAAAAAATTAGAAACGACCAAAGCGATATCAAAAACTAGTGACATTCCAATTACGAGTATTTTTAACGGTTCGCAAAATAAGGAAAATAAGGAAAATCAAGACTTGCCAGAAGAACATACCTCTGTTCTACGAATAATTGGTATACTAGTTGGGTTCGGAGCAATTTTAATTATTTTGGCCGTCGTATTTCTTTTCAAAAGACAAGGAAAGAAACAGAAGCCATCGACTGACAGGACTTGTAAGGGTAGGTGGTTTCCGAGTTAAGTGAATTTCACTCAATTGGGTATTCACTTAAAATTGTATTCCCAATATAAAATTTTGATCTTGGGTGGGCGTGGCGACTTACATTTCCTAACATGAGAAACAGAGTGACCACTCCCACTTACCTTCAAAATTTTGCATAAAGAATATTACCGCTAGACTTCGCATCGTTAGCAACTAGGCAAAAAATCAAATTTCATAAACAAATTGCAATTAAGCATACTCTTGTTCTATTTAGTCTTGGTTCCAGGGCGCATATACTTTGTTGTCCGTGGTTTCTTCTAAAGGGTGGTGCAAGGATGAGCTTTTTTTGAAAAAAATAAAATTTTAAAAGTTCGGGAATTCCGTGCAATTTTTTAGATGCAATGCCGACACTGGGCTCATATAACAAATTTGTCTGTCTGTTTATCACGGAAACAATTCTCGTTAAGCTCATGCTATCCGCTTGAAATTTTTTACAAAGTTAAAAAATGCTAAATATGAGGCCAAATCGAAAATGGACGATGGGAGAGGATGTGGTGGTCTACTGGTGGGGGTTAAATCGGTAAATGTACCACAAGATACCAGACTTTGGCTCGAGATATGTGAAGCTGAACTGAAATTTATTTATCAAATCTGCCATTACCAACAAAACCTCAGCACGGAATTCCCCAACTTTTAAAATTTGTATTTAAAAAAAATGCTCATCCTTGCACCACCCCTTTAGAAGAAACCACGGACAACAAAGTATGTGCGCCATGTCTTAGTTCACATCCCAAGTTGTAATTCTCAAATCCTTTAGTAAAATAATCTTGCAAAACAAAGTATGTTAATTTTTTGGGTAAATTTGCCAAGAAAAGGCCTATCGTTTTCAAGCCAAAGTTATTTAATTAAAATATTATTAATATTAATAATATTAATAATTAATTCATTAATTAATTTACAAAGGTACAAGTTTTTGAGAAACTTATGTTGTAAACAGTTATGTTGCTAAGAATGCCCAATTTGTGAAATATGCAAAGTAAACTTGCGTGTGTTCACTGAAAAATTGTTTGAGAACTTGCCCATTTCCAGTGTAAGTTCGTAGTTTGCAAAATGTTAAAAAAATGACGCATATTGTGCTGTGAACACGCGAACTCGAAATGAATACCCCTAGTATAAAAACATTGCTTAAATTATTAATGCAACTAATGTGTATCTTTTCAGTCGAACTTGACGTACTTTGTTCTTCTCTGGATCCCCATCCCGCCCTCTGGCGAAACTCTGATTTCCTATCTTGCATAGGGAAAATTGGTCACGGCTGCTTTGGCGTCGTTTTGAAAGCTGTGGATCACAATGACGTTTATAACGGAGATGGTTTCGCCATTAAATGTGTCGATATCGATAAAACCCTCAATTCCATGTCATCTCGCGATTCTGCGTCACTTTTCTACAAACTTCTAAACGAAGTCCGCGCACTGAGCAGGCTAAATTGTGACAATGTCGTAAAATATCACAGCTGTTGGGCAGAATCCGACGGAGTCGTGCACATCGGAAGAGTTGAATTGGAAGAATGTATTTCCACCATTGTTTCTTCGGATTCTCGGTTCTTCTCAGTCGGTAGTTCGAATGCGTTGTTCGCGCGAAATTATCTCTTTTTGAAACTAGAATTTTGCGATACTACGTTAGATAAGTTTATAACGCAATTTAAAAATCAGTCAAGAAACTGTGATGGGAAAAATTGTCAATTTAACTCAATCGTCGTTGATGCAGGCCGACAGATAGCCACCGGTCTGAAATATGTTCACTCAAAAGGGATCATTCATCGAGATATAAAACCAGCTAATATTTTGGGAAGGTTGACCGACTCGAGGGACGCAATAACATGGAAGATTGGAGATTTTGGGCTATCAGTCATACTTAATGATAAAGAGTACGGTGGAGCGTCGGCCGGAACAAGTTTGTATCGTAGTCCGGAAATGAAGAATGGATGTCCGTACTCAAGTAAAAGCGATATTTATAGTTTAGGACTTTGTTTCTTGGAGATGGCACAATTGAATGGATGCCAATTTTCGAAATATGAGGTATTTAATAATTTAACAGAAATCGGGGAACAGGCCAAGAAACATGTGATAAAGGATATCACTATGGCCAATTGCGGTGAGGAGTATGGCAAGATGTTGATCAAAATGTTGAAAAGAGATTGGGAAAAAAGATGGAATTCTGGACAAGTTTGTGAATTTATTTCAACACATTTTTAAATAATGGCCGTGATAAATCTGTATGTATTAGCTTAAAATTTGATTTTCGAGTGCCAAAAAAGTAACGATGCATTGTGACAAGTTGTCGAACTAAAAATTAAATTGTCTAAGCCCACTCAAGCAGAAAATGTTTATGAAGATGTATTTAAATCTCTTCTTGATTTAAAAAGTAAATAAAAAATAAACTGAGGATGTAATTAGTCACATTAAAAAAAATTGGCAATACATACATTATAAACAGTCATATATGTTTATTTGTTAAATAGAAAAAAAAACAAATATGACCGTACATTAGTGTCAACAATATCGTAGCGCAATGATTATTGAAGACCTACTCTAATTTTTGTATTATTTTACGCCAACTAGGCATTAATCGTATAATCCAAAATGGTGACGTAATCCATTGATTTAGTCGAATTTTTATGCTAGAATCCCAAGTGTCCACACGACTTGTGCGGCCAATAGATACATATGAAATGTTTATAAATACGCGATATAGAAAAATTGTATTAAAAATATAAAAGACGGGAACTTAGCTATTTACAGAAGTTTGAATTGAGTTTCAAAATAATTTATTAAGTATTTAATTTATGGGTATGTTTTTTCATGCTCATACATGTTCATAATTTATTTCTCTGCGTTTCGAAAATTTCTGTGAACATCTAACAGACAGGAATTTGTATCCTTGTTAGTAGGCTGTAAATGATTTCCACATGCCGGCTTCTCGGCTTCAAGAAATGTGCGAGTGTTTGTATTACTTTGCGTAGGAGTTGGCAACGCACTGGCATCCACAACGCGTAATCTCTTCACTCCACGAACTCTGTATAAGGTATATGTATATTGTATGGGGCACCAAGCCCTTTTCACAGCGCTAAGGCCCTTCTTTGTACCTTGATAATAGAAGAATTGTAAGCATCCAGGATTGTAACGAGAACATTTAAAAATATTTTTTCATAATTATTTTAATTAAGGTGTCTTCTATATTTAAGAAACTTGATTCAACTCTAATTATAAGGACTCCTTATTAAGGAGAAATTGGAACACATATCTCAAAACAATTTGTACAAGATATTCATTAAATTCATTAAATTTAGAGTTAAATTGTATCGTCAATATTACTTTTCCTCATTTCAACATTAGAATGCTCAAATTGTTCAATGGAACACTTGTTTTCGTTTATTCCATGGGGAAACAAGTTTAATAACTCAGTTTATTTATACACTCTTAAAAAAATTGATACCAGATCGTTACCAGGCGGAATGCATATATGACTCTACCGCGTTGGTAATGATTTCAGCACATTGTGGTAAAGATTCACAAAAATTCCACAAAGTGATGATTCAGCTCCATGCGGTTAAAATTTAACTGCAACCAGGCAATCACGTTCAACATCGCACAGTAATCAGTTTTTACCCAATAGTTATGTTACATTCCTGAGTTATGTTGAAGGTGAGTACCACTTGGTGTTATTCATTACTAAATGGTACATATAATATTACCCAATTTTGTCAACTTTGTCTTCATCTGGAATCGATTCGTTACTCTCGAGGTAATAATTTATAACCCCCTGCACTTAACATTTGACACTATTTAGTGAGGATTTATTTATTTATTTACTGATGACAAAATTAATTATTTTACAACGATTAAAGTGTACTAACTTAAATTTACCAATGACATGTTCGAATTAATAATACATTATGCAATATAATTAAAAACTCGAAATTTTGTAATATACATTCAACTCGTGTAAATTATAAATGATGTCTAAGAACTAAATATAACGATTCATTGCTACAATTTCTTTGAATTTCAAAACAGTCATGAACCACTAAATCTGTAATTGAAATAACTTTGAATATATCAATTTTATGTTTTACTTTAAACGCAAAATAATGGCGATCAAAATACTCCACATCTAGTTCCTTAAGAAGCAAATAACAAGTTTTATCGTTAGGCAAAAGAAACTCATTAATAATTCCAAATTTTGGAAATACGTTACCCATTTCATAACAAACTACAAACCCCGTCTTATAATTATACCCTCGATACCAAATCTGGTTGGTTGTATAGATTTGTGTTTCTCCGTCACAATTTTGATAACAGTCAAATAATCTTAAACTCTCAATTAAATCGAATGAATCGACAAAATTACTAAGATTGACAATAAATATATGATCAGTTTTAAGACTATCGCTTGATTCGGAGGACTGCATCATAAATGCGCTGTATTGTTGATGCCTAAATGCTAGAGAGTAACAAATATTTCTGAAGTTTTTAATATGTGCAGCTAATTGTGCAAAATAATTGTGCTTTGCTTCATATCTCATTGTCCAAAGAGATATTAATGGCCCAGTTTGTCTAATTACATGAGAGTAGTGGCACATGAAATGATGTTTCGGAATTAGTCGTTCATGTGGAAACAAAAAACGAAACAATTTGTGGTGTGTCATTACTTTCTGGTCGAGAATTTGTAAACTAGAAGATGAAAATTTCCTACAAAACGTTAGACTCATTATTTCTAAAAGTTGAATAATAAGCTCCCAATATTTACTTCCTTCCTCACTAACGATTAGATCAGCCAGAATTACTGGTAAATGCCTTATTAAGCACCACGCCTGTGCCGCCTTTTGACCAATTTTGTGTCCGGTGCTATCTAAGCGAATTGGATTTGGTCGATTTTTGGATTCTAAATATCCATAGTTATGGGCCATAAGTCGCTGATTTACAATTTCTAAGCTAAAGCAGCCTAAAGATATGAGTTTTTGCAACACAATCTTGATCTCAAATGGCACAACCCCTTCTAATAAATCGTGCATAATATCCACTGATGGGGAATTTAAAAAATCGAAATATTGCAGCTCATTCAATGCACATTCGGATTGAACCCCAAATTTGTTTTGTCTCAAATGTTGTTCGTAATCAGGTCTACTCCGAATGTGCATCAAATTGTGATCAAACACCTCTTGTGCCTCCGTCTTCGACGTGCAACATATTCTACAATAATAATGCGAGTTAAAAGATTCTGAAAAACCTAATAAAGAGTTCATCCCCAAATTATCACAAGATAAACTAGAAATCGTTCCGTAAATTGTTTCAGACCCATTCACTTTTATCCCACTGCTTTCTAGTAACTTGATATCCGGAATTAAATATTTAAGAATAGCGTTCATTCCATATTTTTTAGCATCTTCAGTATAAAAAAGAGCCAACAAATGAATTTGACTTAATTTGGAATTTATATAGTCCGGGAAGTTTCTTATTGTGAAATAAATTCCCCCAATTTTATGTACACCACGCTTCGACCCCAATGGATTTACTGTTTCGAAGTCATCGTAGAATAATTGAATTTGAATCGAATTAGGAAATTTGGAGAAGAGAATATTATTTTTGAAGGACTTAGAATCGCTAAAATTTTTGTAAACATTTACCTCATGCGAATTGGAATTATAATTTATAAAAAACTTTGAATATTTTGGGGAATTTACAATGGATTCTAAAGTTTTGAGCAATGGGACATACATGAATGTATCGGGAACAATTACTTGTTGTCGTTTGTTATTTTTCACTCTCAATTCAGTTCTACTACCTAATGACAGTTCTCTGGGTAAGATTGGTCTGGCCGTTTTCTCAAACATTTTTTGTCTTTGATATGAAGATTTAATTGTGGCAAAAGCTTGCATTAAACCTTTAGTTTGACAACTGAAGAATTCAAAATCATCCTTACAAAACTTCTTCCCTAATTTTAGGACTAAACTAATTACTTGTGTAAAACTAAATTGTAATTCCTGAACTACAAAATCTACTGTTGTGTTTGTTACACCCTTTGCTAAAAGTGAGGAACAAAAGCTACTTAAAATATCCGACATAATTTGAATGCCTAGTTCAACTGAGATATCTTCTACTACTTCGTCTTCATCCAACTTATTATTATTATTCGTCGGAAGAGATTCCAATGCTTCGTGACTAACTACCGCATTAATTACTTCACTAACATTAATTGCGGTCGAGACATCGTGTGATTTTAAATGCCTAAGATAACCACTCCAAGAACTAAATTGAACGGAACAATTTATGAAGGGGCAAAAGCTTTTCCTAAAATTTGCACTACCTATATTATGAATGTATTTTGTATGAACAATAATATCTTCTACCCGAGTAAACGTATTTCTGCACTCAGAACAATAATACATTTTTACCGAAATTTATATTATTAAAATTACTGGTCAATTGCTTTCCGAAAGGCTTGAAAGTTGTTGGAGGACTTGTTTTGCTTTGCGCGGAAGAGTTGTGTTTTGAATGTCTAATTGGAAGACGTGAATTTGCATAAACTTCCATAATCCATCCAAATTTTGGTCGTATTTTGTCCCGATCACATAATGAGCCTTAAAAAGAGAGTCGATGGCCTCTGTAGAATTACTGGCATTCAGCGGAAGGGCCAACTTGTCACAAATGATGAAAAATGTCGACGGATTTGTTTTATCGTCGCCCAAGTACACCAAAGTGGGTTGACTGATATCCGAATCCCAAGTATCTAAAATTGACTGCAATGGCGTTCCACTCTAAAAGAGTAAGAATATTTACAGGTTATGTTCCTATAAAACAAAAACACTCAAAGCAAATATGTTGTAAATGTGTACTTTAAAATATTTTACAAGTCTAGATTCCGCATCTTCAATTTTGCACCGCGCACCTTTCCCTCGCCCATGCGCTGTCGGGGGGATTAAATAAAGCAGGGCCAACAATGCGCCAGTTGACCGATCCCAATTTCCTGCAAATAAATTGATTTTCCAGCAGATTATACGAAATAAGCAAAATTAACGAAATTATAACCATATTATATTCATACCAGCATTATCGTTTATGAATTTATGAAGAGCCGTCGATTTGCTGATTCTTTTACAGTTTGTTAATATTTGCTCCCTCAATGTTTCCCACGTGTCCAGAAATTTGGCCGCATTAGCTGGAAACATCAGCTGGAACTCGAAGTTAATCTATGATAATTTGTGTCAATAAATTAAGGTAAAAAAAATCTAAATACAGCTAATAACTTTGTAGTAATTACCAGAAATCCGCATTCCAAGAATTTTCGATACACCCGGAGGACTGAGTTTTCATTAGTGCCTCGCAAATAATTTCTGTGCTCCAAGGTTTGTATCATGAGACGCCTAACTTCGTCCTCCGGAAGTGAGGAATTTAATTCCGCGATGGCGATATCGTCAGCAGCAATTTGAACATGTCCGTCTTGCTTATTGGAAATGGGTGCTCCAGCTCCACTCGCTACGGGTCGCTTCAAAGATTTTAGAGGGTTTTTTTCTTTAACGTTTCGGTGAATCCATCGTAAACGAGTCTGAATTAAGCCGGAACGGTTCACAGTATCATACAAAATATCCTGCAATAAGGGAATAATAATATATACATATATTTAAATTCAAATTTCTAGGGAAGCTATAATTTTGCACATACAATTCCATCAATTGAATCCGGGTATTTCCAACACGGAATAATTTCGATTATTGCCTTGGCAAATCGCAGCTGATCAGAGGTGGATGGTAAATCCCTATATATTGTAAAGTTAATTTGATTAATTTTATAGACAGATATTATCTGCTAATAACAACAAGGAAAACTTACCCCCTTAAATCAATTAACAC